CCCACTAAATGTTACTCAACACCAGAGATGCCTAATAAAAAAACAAGAGAGGATTATCTAAGTGATGAAATTAGTTCATCATTTGGCTCTACCTTTTAACATTATCAAATCTAAGGTTAAAAAATTTAAAACTTTCATACAAAAGAAGATTATTCTTCTCATGTAAACTCAGTCAATGCTTGAAAGTTTCTTCTGGGGATAGCACAAGAGGTAGAGGAGAAGCTATATGTTGAAAAAAAGGAGCCTATAATTTTCCATCATGATTGATAAGAGTACTGATAAAGCATTGGAGAAACACTGGATTGTTTAATATTATCTACCTAGAAGCTAGAGGTCAGCTAGTTTGCAAGTTTATAAGGCTTTTCTTTATTGAAGGAAGAATGGTGGAGGCAATTGTTTTTACTCCAGAAGTTCTCTTCTTACAACTTGAGCTAGATTTGAAAAAGCTTGACTCTGATAAAGCCACAGGATAAAGTCTCATCCCTAATTGGATGTAGAACAAGTGTGGTACAATATTTGAAGGAGAAGCATCGTAAGATCCTTGGTGTTCATTGTGTTGTTTATAGGGAGGTGCTTGCTGCAACAGATGGTTCAACTTTTAATTGTAATGCTTTTTATGAGATTGATAAATTGGTCAAGGAAAATGCTATTATTGCATGAAGTATATTGGTTATTTCATAATCAAGTTGTATAACATTTGGTTCAATCTATACCAGCTTTATTAGAGCAACGGCAAGAACTAGAGAAAGTAAAATATAAGATGTTAACAATATTTCAAGTACTTAATGTCTTTGTCATGGTATGGTAGATACTTGTTTAGTGTAAGTCTAATTTTTCATTCATTTATTGACATACATGTTTTTAGAGTTGAACAAATTTAGCCTTCTACTATGAAAAGAATGTCACCAACTACTCTAAGCTTAGAGATTAATTGGATGTGATAGTGGAGAGGTTATATTTAGATCTATTTTTGGAGGTAATTCTCCAAAGTAAAGAACGTTCATTATCATTCATCAACATGAGTGGTGTGATAGAGGTATACAACCCCAACTCTGTACATATACATTCTTCTCAAGTAGGAATTAATTTAAATGTTAGTATAATGGGAGTAGAGTTAGGTTCTTCTGATGATTCAATCTTTAAAGAGAGGATGTACATGCAAGTTACCATAGAGATATCAATTCCCTCAACAGTATAAAGCGAATTAATCCATACTCCTACTTTACAAGGGACTTTGAAGGTTAATAAGTTACAAAAAGATGCTGGCTCAAAAGTCTTCTGTACAAAATCAACTTTAACTCATCAAAGTTTGTCACAATGAAGTGGAAGACTTCATCAACTTCCTCTCCAAAGCTTGTTCAACATGAGTATTTGTAGCAATGAGCAAATCTAGTGAAATATATTTCTAGGTAATGAATTCTTTACTACTTTTTTATTCTAACTCAAATATTAGTAGAGGTTTAATGAAATTGTGATAAGTCATTCTAGCCAACACTGCTGCATGCAAAAGAGGTTTCTTATTCCAGAACAATTTTAAAACAGATATGAGAGTTTGATTATATTTACTCTACTCATTAATGATAGTAAATCTTAATAGCTTACATCCTAAAACAGTAGATTGGATGAATATTTTTTGTTTGCTTAGTGAGGTGGTAGTGGATATACCTAGAATATGCTTCAATATTCTAGGATCTTCCACAATCTAACGGTTGTTATTCATTTAGATTAATATTGTATTTATCATTTATAAAAATTCCTAAATACATTCTAGTATATTCTATTTTATTCTAGCTGATATAAGAGTAATCTTATGGTTATACATGTTTACAATTATAAACTTCCATTTGCTCAATTAGATTAATAACATTGCTATTAAAAAAACCAAGCATTGTTGCATGCAATGAGTAGCAAATTATTCAAATTTAGAGAGATTTAGAAATTAAAAAGTTTAAGTGATATTGAAAACATTTGCTATACATTTTATGCAGCAATTCTTAGTTTGCTTAATAGTAGTGTCATTCCTATTTATTAATCTAATTTATCAAATGGAAGTTTATAATTTATAAATACAAGATTAATCTTATTAGATATCAAGATGAATAAATGAATAATAACTGTTAACATATTTTAAAATATTCAAAAATATTCTAAGCTTAAAAAAACCTAAAAATTAGAACTAATTTATCATGTCAAATGAAAACTTGTTATGTATATAAAATCAGTAAAGGAAAGGTAGAGGCTCCATGATGTTATCTCAGAGCATTGAGTCAATTTTCCAGACAACAATCCAGAGGCGCCCACAGCCGCGAGCAAGGCACTGTGTGGCGGTGTGTGGCAAGGGCATCGAGCAAGAGGCTATGGAGATTGCAAAGAAGCTGTAGAGATACATTTTTTTACAAGCGGAGGAAGATTGTGGAATCATTCCCATCACGAGCCACAGATACTTGTGGAAGGATATTTTCGTGGGCATGAAATTAGTGGAGTAAATATTTTCCTGAATAGATATTGACAATGATTCCTCTCAAAGTCAAAAGTTACGTATAGTTACGTAAAATCAAAGCTGCAACAGTTTGTATAGAAGTGATTCATTGAGCGAGGAAGTTTCGACTCCCAGGCTCATGGGAATCACTATAGCGATCCTCGTGTGCTTGCTCGCGACCGCGGCGATCATCAAGTCACTGCTCGCAAGGAGATCGTCCAGACTCCCGCCCGGTCCAATCTCCTTCCCGGTGGTGGGATCTTTGCTCTCGCTCCGCCAGCCCCTCCACCGCCACTTCGCGCGCCTGGCCGATCGCTACGGCCCCATCGTCTTCCTCAAGATCGGCATGGTTCCATACGTTATCGCCAACACCGCTCGCGCCGCCGAGTTCTTCCTCAAGATCCACGACGCCGAGTTCGCCAATCGCCCCCAGTCGGAGGAGTTCTTCCGGATCTTCAGCTTCGGCTGGAGCGACCTGGCCTTCCGCTCACCGGGGCCCGAGTGGAAGCTCATGCGCAAGATCTGCGCCACGAACCTCTTCAGCAACGCTATGCTCGCCACCAGCGCCCCCTACCGCCGATCGCAGCTCCAGTCCGCCATGGACGCCATCCTCGATCGATCACGGGGAGGCGAGCCCGTAAACTTGCGGACCCTCTTCGCCCGATACACGTCGGGGTCGCTGTGCCTGACGCTCTTCAGCCAGGAGTGTCCCGAGGTGGTGGAGACGATCAACAACATGGCCGGGCAGGCGATCAACCTCAACATCGGCGAGATCATCCCGTCGCTCGACTGGATGGATCTCCACGGCGTCTACGCCACGATGAGGGGCGAGATCATGCCCCGGATCAAGGCGCTGCTCGACGATCAAGTCCGGGAGCACCAGGAGCGCAAGAAGGCGGCGGGCGATGGGTTTGTCTGCCGCGACTTTGTGGACGTTCTCATCTCCCTGGACGAGAGTGACAAGCTCTCGGACCAAGAGATCATCGGCCTCCTGTGTGTAAGTGATCACCATCCTTCTCGATCCTCTTCTCTGCGATGTGACGATCGATCGAACTTTCTTCCAGGATATGGTGGGTGCCGGATTCAAAACCTCCATGGAGTCGATCGAGTGGTGCATGGCAGAAGTGATCAGTAAACCCGAGATCATGCGCAAGGCCCAAGAAGAACTGGATCAAATCATCGGGAGGGAGCGCGCGGTGGAAGAACACGATCTCCAAAACCTTCCATTCATCCAGGCGATCCTCAAGGAGGCCCTCCGCCTCCACCCGGCGGTGCCGCTGGGAATGCCCCACTACAACCTCCGCCCCGTGGAGCTCGGCGATGGCCATGGCACCATAATCCCCGCCAAATGCAAACTCCTCGTCAATCTCTGGGCGGCGAACCGCGATCCAGCGCACTGGACAAGCCCCCACGAATTCCAGCCCGAGCGATTCCTGGGGACCAACATCTCGCCCGGGGGGCAGCACTTCCAAATCATCCCATTCTCCGCCGGGAGGAGGATGTGCGCCGGCTATGGCCTTGCCATGCGCTCCCTCTTCTTCCTCCTCGCCAGCCTGCTACACGGATTCATCTGGAGCGAGATCTCGGACAATCCCATCGCACTGGAGGAATCGATCGGAACCATTTCGTGCCCACCTGCGAAGGACCTGATCGTCGCGGCGTCGCCCAGGATCGAGGAGCGAATTCTCGCTCAGTACTAAGAACCCTAATCTGGCAAGAGAATATTCTAGCAAAAGCAATTTGTTTGTAATGGATATTCTAGTGTATCAAAGGGGTTTATCCAGGGTTTGATCCAAATGCTCTCGAATCAATGTCCGGTGCTCTGCGAAGATCAGCTCCTCGGTGCCTCCATTTTCAGCGGTGATATTTCCTGGAGAAATTCTCGAAATATTTGGAGCTTGTAGCCACCCCACGCAGAGGAAAGAACTCTTGCATGGAATGTTCAATCCGGATTCTATGGTCATACTGGAGCAACGCTCGATTGGTTCTCGAATTACTCCAGATTCGAGTCGATTATCCGTTAGCAATTCCGCAAATCTTCCCTTCCCAGGTTTTCATGGCGGTGTGTGGGAATTCAGGTACCAAGATCTCAATGAGCGATGCCATAGAAAAGAATACTAATTCCAGGGATGTAAAACAGCAATGTCTAACGACATGGTGGAAGATGGCTAAGAAGAAATCTTCAACACGGATCTATCTTCGGTGGTGATTGACAACTTCAAAGCTAGATATGCTCACTCTCTTGTATCCTTGGGCTTGGTGATGTTACTTCTTTGCAGCAGCAATATCTTCCTTGACGAAACTTAAGATGTGGCAATAGATTCACGGGACATGAGTGCGTTGCAAGACTGTTCCTTTGATGTGCTCATTGACAAAGGTAACAAAGTAATAGTTTACTCTCAAAAGTCTCCTCTTACATTTTCTTTCTCTTTGTTTTTCAGGCCTGGCCGACGCCATGCTAGTAAGTGCTTGTGTCACCAAAAACATCCTTGTCTAATGCAATTTGCGTTCTTTCTTTCAGTGTGGAGTTGATCCGGCCGAAGGCGTTCTACAAATGCTAAGAGAGACTTACAGGTTTACTGATTAAGTTTATGCTCTCTCGCTTGCAGGATTTTGAGACCACAAGGAGTGTTTATGCTGGTAGGAAGAAAAAAACACTTCTATAGTTCCTGATCTATAAACATTCTCACTGCAGATCACATACAGCCACCCCAAAATACGAATGCCGGCGTTGCTGGAACCAGGATTGAAATGGTCCATCCTTCTGTACGCCTTGGGTATGTTTTGAGCTCTAAACGGGATAAGCTCACTGTGTCTGTTTTCTTCTCAGCCAAGCCTGGCACTGAGAAAGCCGTAATGGAAACTATTGAGGGAGTCGCTCCAGATTCACTGCCCATTGACGAGCGCAACTGGTCTCTCGGCTTGGAAGATTTTGAAATATATTTAATTAACTTTACTAGCTATAGCCACATTTTAATCTAAGATACAACTAATTACCTTTTCCCTCGCGACAATATAACAGCGAAAATGCTTGTGAGGGTTTATCACTTTCCATCCTCTCCAAAAGCGATCAAGCAAGACCAATCGATCATGGGAGTTCCTGGGTTTTTCGCTTGGCTCGTATCCAAGCATCCTCGTTGCGTGAGGGACGCGATTGATGGTGCCAAGAACAATATTCTTCGCTACGACACCGCGAACTTGTACGTGGACCTCAACACCATCATCTGGGTCATCCTGGAAAGCCACGATTGCCCGCCCACCTTCGCCACTTTTTACCAAGAGTTCCTCGACTCGCTCCACAAGCTCGTCGCCATGGTGGCTCCGACCAAGCTCGTCTTCCTAGCCCTGGATGGAAGGCCTCCCACCCCCAAGCTCTTCAGCAAGCTCTTCAAGAAGCCGTGTCGCTACAATCGCGATGGTTCTCCCTCCTCCTTGTCCTCCTCGGAGGATGAGCTCACCAAAGGTCAGACAGGTGATCTCATCCCACGCAATCGCAAGGCCAAGATGGCGATGGTCCGCCATGGAACGCCTTTCATGAACGGGCTGGAGAGTGAACTGCGACGATTTGTGGCAAGCATGATGCTGTCAAGTTCATATGATCATCGCCGGAGGCGATCAATGACTAGCTCGAGGCTCCAGTGGATCGTTTCCACGTCCGAGGAGGACGGGGAGGGCGAGCTCAAGATCTTCAACCACATACGGGCTCTGCCGTTCAACGCCCACGACTTCCACTGCGTGGTTGGACGCGACGCCGACTTGATCATGCTGGCTCTCGCTAGCCCGCTCTCCAGGAAGATCAACATCGTCCGCCAGACGCCGAAGGACGGAGTGATGATTTACAAGCTCATCAGCATCGAGACACTCGTGCGTGATTTCGAGGTGCAGATGGAAGAGCCGTGCTCCGTGCGGCTGCGGTCCACCATGAGGGATCTCGTGTTCCTGTGCTTCCTTCTGGGGAACGATTTCCTGCCTGGCCTGGAGGCGCTCACAATCCGAAACAATGGCATCGACAAGCTCCAGCAAACGTACATGGAGGTTTTCAGTGAGGCAGGGGAGTTTATAATCAACTGCGATGGGCATGTCAACACAAGAGCGTTGGAGCGATTTCTTTTACATCTGCCGAGGCAATTGGGGACATCGGAGAACTTGGAATCTAGTGTTGACACGGCCATGACAATGTGGTCATCATATATTAACATTCTAAAGTGGTGCGCAGACTATTATTTCAATGGAGTGGTGTTGGACAAGCCCTACTACTCGTGGAAGAATGCTCCACCCATGGGAAGATTCGTCAACTTCATGGGCACACACTCACGTGGCATGCTAAATTCAAGACCTCTACTCCCACCAGTTACTGCTGCGAGCGTTTTTAACTTAAGACCTCAGTGGTTGAAATCCTGTTAATATCGTATGGAATGACTGTAAATTCTAGTGAGAGCAAAAGGGAAGATCGACCAGACTTGACAAACTTAGATCTTTAATACTAATATATGCATTTTAAAATCACAAAGAGTTCCCAGTATGAGTCGGAGGAGCGACCAAGCAATCCAGCCGCCGGCTTCCTGCTATCGCAGAAGCTTCTACTTCTCAGCACGGGTCTTGGAGAAGAGTGGGGGCAACCTTGAGGTTCTTGACGGCCTGGATGGCACCTTGCTCACAAGCCCCAGCAGCACGTCCACCTTGCACCCCCGCTCGATGGTCAGCTCGATGTTTAGCCTGTGGAGCTCCTAATCGACGGCGGCAGCATAAGAATGTGCCGTCTCCCACGCTTGGATATGATCCCTGGTCTCGATGGAGCACCGCCGATCGAGTTGAGCGAGACGTTGAGCCGGTCCTGCCTGTAAGTCCGGACGTGTGAGGTAGAAGGCGTTGTGAGGGTCCGTCGTCACCTTTGCCTTGTCGTATCTAGAGTCGAGAGAGTCTGGCACGCCACCAGGAGCGTCGTCCAAGTCCGGCTCAAAAGGCATGGTGTCGATGAGCTCCACGGCCTGGCCGAACAGCCCGGCACAGGGGATCCGCCAGGCAGTCGTAGTGAGCCAGCGTCGGGCTCACGCCATGATAGTCTTGACTTGGACCATGTTGGCGAAGTTGAAGACCCACAGCATCTCAGGTGGATGCCGCTTGATCACTTCCAGAGGAGAGTCCCCTGCCTCCTTAGCAAGTTTGCGGCGTTTGAAAGCCGGATGATCACAGTAATGATCCACCGCGTCTGGTGCCTTCCTCTAATTTCGAAGCAGCTGAAACCCCGAGTAGAATAGTCCTGTTTACAAGGAAAAGAGTTAGCCGATCACAGCAATCACGAAACAAACTTACTGTCAGGGAGAGTAAGTTCCCAGGGATTGAGAGGCGGATGATCACAGTAATGATCCACCACCGGCGGTGCCTTCCTCTTGTTTCCGAGCAGCTCAAACTCCGGGTAGAATAGCCCTGTTTACAAGGGAAAGAGTTAGCCGATCCCCCATACAAATCAAGAAACAAACTTACTGTTAGAGAGAGTAACTTTGAGGTGATCAAGAGGCGGGTGATCATAGTAACCCGGCGGTGCCTTCCTCTTGTTTTCAAGCAGCTCCACTCGATCATGGTAGAATAGCCCTGTTAGGAAAAGAGTTAGCCAATCCCTCAGAAATCACGAAAAAACTTACTGTTAGGGAAAGTATGTTTGCGGTAATCGAGAGGGCCGTGATCGTGGTAATGATCCACCGCCGGCGCACCAAACTCCGGGTAGAATAGCCCTGTTTACAAGAAAAAGAGTTAGCCAGAAATCACGAAACCAGACGAGATCATGGGAACCTTGACCCAGCTCGGGCTTCCAGGAGAGCTCCTGTAGCTCCACCACCTTTTCATCGTCACAGCGTCGGATTTGCTGCCGCTCGGGCGGTTTGATGCAAAGCTGTTCGAGGGAGGATTCGTGCTGCGCCAAAAGAGAGCATCAAAAAAAAAGGAAAGGAAGGGGAAAACGAGAAAGGAAGAAGAGCCATACCTTTTCCTGTGCAGCTTCCATTTCCTGAGCCTGCAAGAACGAGGAGAGAAATCTTGAGAAGAAGACCCAAAAAAACTTACCTGGATGAGAGAGTCCAAATCATCTGGGAGCTCGTCCTTGACATTCCACTTGGTGCATACAAAATCGACAGCAAAAATTATCTCCACAATCTGTAACATCTCCAGCAACACCATCTTGGGGAGAGAGAGTGACACGAACCACGGGAATATTTCGAGAATATTCCATGGCCTGTGGGATTTAAGGCTATAACGTCTTAAGGGTTGGGCTAGGGTTTGCTCTCTTGTTCGTTTCATTGGTATCGGAGCAACACGTTCTTTTGGGGATGGCAGGAGAGCAAAACATTAATCCTGATGAGGAGTATGGCATTAGTGATGATAGCCATGATGATGCGGAAGAGACTTTTGATGATGTCGTTGTGCGGCAGGGACGCCAGATTTTTGAGGTTCAGAGCGACATAAAGGAGGTTAAGGATTTTGTCAATCTCATTAAGGATTTCTTGCTTCGCATGAACCCTCAAGGGTTGAATCAATCTCATGTCCGTGATTACCATTGGTACGTCAAACATGCTAAGGATTATGGTATCGTGGAATGGAAATCATCACCGGATGTTTGTGATAGTCAAGAGGTTGATTCTTGGTTGGAATTGTGGGAAAGTTGTTGGTCTCACAATCCTTGTGAGGATAAGGTGAAGATAGATTTCTTTGTGACGAAGCTTACGGGCCATGCTTCTTTGTGGTGGAAGAATTACATCAAAGCTAATCCGAAGCCGACTTCTTGGACTGATTTGACAAAGGTTTTCCGCACTTCATTTGTCAAGAAGTTTGAAGAAGTTGATCTTGTGAATTAGTTGTTAGAGATCCAACAGGGGACTTTGTCTTTGGATGCGTATGCTCGCAAGTTTCGTGATCTTTGCCTTAGTCTCACAAGCACCTATAATGAGCTGCTAAAGGTGCAATGTTTCATCAAAGGATTGAGCTCGGTGGATGTGCAACAAAAGGTCAAGAAGGATTTTCCAGCAACATTGACTGATGCTATCACTAAGGCTCAAATCTTTTCGCCCGAACCGTCAGTCAACTTGGTCAACTCTGGTCAACGAGTTGGTCTACGGAGTAGTCAACGTGATGACCAACTCGCCAATGCTTCATATTTGGGGAAGAAACAACCATTGTTCTGTTATGGCTTGAAGCATGAAGATGGTAGTGAGGCTAAGAAACTTCGTTTGGACCAACGAGAGAAGGACAAGGCGGAGGGCAATTGTTTTCATTGCCATAGAGCTGGACATCAGAGCAAGGATTGTTCTGAAGGGGTCAATGAATAATAAAGTGATTGTGGTGGAAATTATAGGCAATGATGTGAGTGATAGTGCTTTTGGGGCTGTATTGCTTCAAGTTAGGCATTGTCTCGCATTCATGAGCCACAAGTTTGATGCCACACAGTGGAATTGACCTACTCGAGAATGGCAATATTATCTATATAGATCGGACTTCTATGTAGATTCAAATCATCAGTTTCTCCAGATGTGGATCTTTGAGGCCGCCTTGCTCGTTGGCAAGAGTTCCTGCAGGAAATGTCTATTAAGATCCGATACAAGCATGGAGGTGACAATAAGGTGGCTGATGTGTTATCTAGAATGATAAATTCTATCTCGTTCGTGAAGCTATCCAGCAATCTCTTGGATGAGCTTAAGGAGTTTGTTGACTTCGACTCCTTTATCACTGATATTCGTGCGAAGGTTTTGTTGAGGGACGCCTCTACGGATTTGAAGGGTGACAAGTTTGCATCATTCAAAATACGAGATGGAATTCTAGTGAAGAAGGGACGTGTAGTGGTTCCTCGTGTTGACAAACTCATCAAACGGATTTTGGTTGAGTGTCATGATGTGCCAAGTGCTGGGCATCCGGGGGTATTGAGAATATATATGTTGGTGAAGAGGCATTTCTTTTGGCCTGGGATGAAGTCAGATGTTGAGAAGTATGTACGTGGTTGTTTGACCTGCCAGGTGGTCAAAGTTGATCATCAGAAGCTTGCTGGCCTCTATCATCCTTTACGTGTACCCGAGAATAAGTGGGATAGCATCTCGATGGACTTTATCACTAGTTTGCCCAAAACCTTTCGAGGAAATGATGTTATTTGGGTTGTTGTGGATCGTTTGACGAAGATGGCTCACTTCTTCCCTGTGAAGATAACGATAAAAGCTTCTGAACTTGCTCAGTTGTTTGTAGACCGGTTATTCAATCTCTATGGTTTGCCGGGTGACATTGTGAGTGATCGGGATCCTAAGTTCACGTCCAAGTTTTGGCAAACAGTCTCTAAGAAACTAGAGACTAAACTGAGCATGAGTAGTGGTGAGCATCCACAATCTGATGAGCAGACAGTGCGCATGAATCAGCTATTAGAAGATATGCTACAGTCTTTTGTGGGAAACTTGACTCGACAGGGAGTATGGGAGAAATACTTGCCTTTACTTCAGTTTGCTCACAATAGCGCTCATCAATTGGCTATTGGCATGTCTCCTTTTATGGCGATGTATGGCTATGAGCCTAGGTCTCTTGTGAGTTTGAATTTGGCTTTGGCTCGGGTTCTTCATGCTTGTGATTTCCTGGAGGATATGCAAGACAAGCTTGAGTTGGCAAAATTGAACATGAGGCAAGCTCAAGAATGAGACAAAAGATTGGTTGATGAGCATCGTCGTCATCAAGAGTACAAAGTTGGTGACAAGGTTTTCCTTAAGCTATCAGATGCACAACGGTCTCTAAAAGGAGGTGGCAGTGCTAAGTTGTCTCCACGGTATTGTGGACCTTGGACAATTTTACAGCGTGTAGGGGATCTTGCATACACTTTGGACTTGCCAGTTAGTTTGAAGATTCATCCAACGTTCCATATGAGCAAGCTTAAAGCGTGTTTGCACTCTGGTGATATCGTGGATCAGTCCATCATCCAGGTTCTAGAGATTGATGCAGAGAAGGCTGGTCCGGCCAATATTCTTGCTCAAAGATTGGTGAAAACACGCCGGAAAACAACTAGGGAGTTGTTAGTTCAGTGGAATGGTTATTCCATGGACGAAGCTACATGGGAAACTGAGGATGACGTGAAGAGAGTGTTTCTGAGTTTTGGTTATGACTTGGATGACATTCCTGAGGAAGGGGAGAATTGAGTTCTATAGCCGTATTGATATATGATTTGAGCCATTTGTTCTATTCTCATTCTCTTGTTTCCATGACTGTATTGTCATGTGAGAAAGCCGTATTGCTTTCTTTCTTTCGTGGCCATTTGTCACAATGTTGGTGTTGCCGTTTGCACATCTTTTCTCCATGGCCGTATTGCCTTGGACTCCCTTCATGTGAGGCTTGTTTAGCTTCTCGAGGCTGCCGTATATGGCTGGGTCATGAGGGAGGGGAAAATGACACGAACCACAGGAATATTCTAAGAATATTCCATGGCATGTGGGATTTAAGGCTGTAATGCCTTAAGGGTTGGGAGGTTGGCCTAGGGTTTTCTCTCTTGTTCGTTTCAGAGAGAGTGAGAACAAGCAAACACCTGAACAGAGATTATTTTGTAGTCTGGAAGTTTAGAGCTTTTGGCCGATCGGCCTCCAGCGTGGCAGGACAGTGTGGTGGTCGATATGTATGCCGTCTCCGACTCGCTGGATTCCAAGGATGGCCTTCTGGACGGCCGTGATCTTCCCACGTGCATAGCACTCTACCAGCATTTCTTCACCGACCACCCCGACACCGTGATGTCGCATCGCCATCGTTTCTCGAAGATGGGAGAACATGCTCAAATCTCTTCCCACCTGCCAAACTTGGTGTTGTTGTTCATGGCTGCCTCGCCGTGGCTCCACTTATGCCCAGCGAGGGACTCCCGAGATCTGGAAGGAAAGCCAACGGGTGGCTTACTTCTCCAATGTCGGGGCTCCGAGCAATTCATCGATACACAATTTTGTAAATGTTTTAATAATCAAATTATAATGTGGCATGATTACATAGCATTTCTCTCTCTCTCTCTCTCTCTCTCTCTCTCTCTTACTTCCAATCACTTTAACTTGGACCAAAGCCTCTTTTATAGGAGGGTCTTTTCTTGGTCTTTTCCTAGTCTTTTCCTTTGCGTCCAATGCTAACCAGTGTGTAAGTATCTCTCCTTTTGCTTTCTAGATTGGTGGATGTTGGGATACCCTCTTCTCTAAGGGGTTTTAGGTTCTTCTCTGGAATGGAAATGCTGGTGAACCCAAGCAGTAGCAGCAGCACCAGCTAGATTGGAAGCGCTCTTTTTTTTGCTCTCAAGGGGCAGCAACAATGATCATATGGAGGTTTCTATGAATTTGTGGAGCTCAGTGATACTATTAGCTCTGGCATTATGGAATATGGGCATGCTCTTCATCTTTGCACAACATGGAGCTAGTAACTATTGCTACATAGTCTTCTCCTCTTGGATTATCCTTAGTCTTATTTTTACAACGGATGCCTTGCAAGTTTTCAAGCACGCTCTTACCAGAACTTCACAGGTGGATAGGCGATGATCCTTGCTCAGTTTTGTCATCACGGAGAGGAATTAAATGTGGTGGAGATAGCCAAGCCATGCCATTGTCTCACTGTTCAAATTCTTTTTCTCTTCCAAAAGAACAAATAATGGTAAAAAAATGTTTCTAAACTCCAAGACGTCAAAGAAGTGCCGGTCAAAAGCTGAGAAAGACCATAGTCGTTGGACAAACAGATGTAGATAAGAGTGGAAAGAGAGAAATGCTATGTAATCATCCACATCATTGCCAACTAGGTGAAAAGAGATTAAAATAGGATGGTGTTTAATGGGAGGTGCTTTTGGTGCCTTTTTAGTCAATCTCATATTTCAGTCTCATTTAATTTAAATTTTTATATAAATATCTCTTATTCTATTTTATCTTTGATAGGTTTTAGCTTGTTGGAGCAAACTTGCACCACACAGTTTTTTTGTACTTTACAAATCTATTTACTTTGAGGGTTTGACAACTAAGATGTTTATAAGATCTTAACTCATAAAGTATTATATTTTTGTGTCAAATTTCTAGAGTACAACTTCATCAATTATGCAAATGTTTAATTTGGATGGCTGTTGGGGTTTGGTTATTCTGAGGTAGAAAGGTACAAGAATAAATATTTAATAGGAAAAAGAATGAAACAGAGGAAAAGTAATGAAAATTAGTGATATGGTGCTAACAGTAAAAAATTTCATAGGTAGAAACAATTAAGAAGAGATATGTAAAAAGGTTGATCTGGGTTATATCTTAATTGAGGATGATCTTACTAGCAAACAATTTTGGCTCATTTAGTGTTGCAAATTAACTTATAATTTGAAGAAAGTTTTAACAATGGTTGTAACATTTTTTGGAAGGTACATATATTTTTTACCTAAGTAAGATTCAGGGTGACAACATATATAAATTATTTAATACTAAATTAGTTCACTATGTTTATTATTGAGTAGTAAAAGTTCAAATGACTTTATTAGTTTCAAATAGTAGTATTTGAACTTAAACAATCTCAACTATATGCAAATTTTAATTATTAAGATTGAATAGAAGAGTATTTTTTTTTGTTGTTTTATATTTAGTAATGAGGAGATAAATTGGCACAAATCTGAATACTAAAACTAAATACTTAATAATTTTAGTAAAATAAATAAATAACATACTTTATAAATCTATACTTGAGTTTTATTGTAAAGAAGTATCCATTGATTTTTATTTAGACTTTTGTAATATAAATTTTTAAGAGAATTTGAATATTTCAAAAACTTCTTAAGTACTACTAACTTTTTGTTAAGACTAATTTCATTTTTTGACATTCTATTTTTACAACATTATCAAATTAAGAATACTATAAATTTGATATTAAACTAATGAATTTAACTTGATAGAAATATTAATTTTCTCTACAATATCTAGTAAGATAAGTATAAATAGTTGAATATAAAATATAAACTAGAAAATATATACCTTTATATTCACAAGTTTAATGCTCTAAAATACAATACTTCATAGTTAAAAATATTTGGAAAAAGTAAATATATAAAAATACATAAATTCTTGGGAATGTTTACTTTATGAAGTTTTTCAATCCTCACCAATTGTTTTGCTTGCAAATCCATCAACTAATGAAATTGGTTCAGGAGTCAAATAAGTACACATAAATTAATATTAATAACTAAATATTTAAAATTAGTTGGAAAAAGTTAGTGCTTACCACACTAATGACTAATTTTTAGTTACAAAAAGTAATACTTTTTCTAAATTTTGATTTGCATAAAGTGGACTTTAAATGTTATTTTAAATATCTATAGTTGTAGTAAATTTTATTTTCGAAAAAAACACAATAGATAACATTGTATCAGTTGTAGTTTTCACCTTATATCTTAATACATAAAATAAAAATTTAAAATTAACTTTAAATTTAAATAAACTTTAATTTTGTTATTTAAAGGTATAAATTAAAATTAGTTTGTGTTTGATATTGAAGATCACATAAAGTTTTTTAAAATAAATTAAATTGCAGAAACTATTTAATTTCAGTATAAAATGCACCTATCTTTTCTAGAATAGAAAGGAGTGTATCGGTTCGAATCCTGGATCATCAAACCCTAAAGAGAAGATGGCTTGCCGCTCCCGATTCTCCTCTAGCGGCACCAGCTCAATCTTTCTCCACGGGTAAGCAAGGACAAAGAGGGAGCCAAAAAGGGAAATGGCGCCACTGCGGTCTCTCCGTGCCCGAGGTAGAGCCTTCTTCTTCCTCCTCCTTGTCATCCGCGCTTCGTCCAGCAGCAGCCCTACTTCTTCTTCCTCCTCCCACTCACAAATGGAGGAGGCGGTTTGGCACGCTCTCAGCCTCTTGCTCTTGCTCCTTGGCTGCGCATGCGGCGCCCTGGCGATCAGATGGCACTCGCTGATTTGCTGCTCCTCCTCCTCCGCCAAGAAAATGCCCTGCTCCGCCAAATTCGTATTGCCGCTCAAGCCCAGCGACGCCGCCACCAAGGTGGCGGCGAACATCACCGCCAAGGCCGAGTTGTCCATGATGGAGCAGCTTGTGCCCGAGATCACTCACCACGTCCTGAGCTACCTGGATTTCAAGAGCTTGTGCTGCATGTCCATGACCAATGTGGCCATGAGGAAGGCCGCCAACGACGAGAGCGCCTGGAAGTCCCTCTATCACAAGGTTTTCTCTTGTAAGCTTTGCTCTCGAGAGTTTTGATAGCGTTTCTCTGGTGTGGCCTTGGCAGGATTGGAATCCCGAGCAGCAAAACATCGTCCCTCCGCACGGCTGGAAGGCCTACTACGCCGTAACCAAGGCCGTCGCGGAAGCCAACCGGGCTTTCTACAACAAGTTCAAGGCAAAGTCCCTGCGAGGGATGGGGCAAATTTGGCTCCACGCGGATTACGTGAAGTGTATCCATCCTGGTGGTGAGCTTATATCAGGGTACAGTATCCCAGCGTTTCTCGAGAAAAAAAACAGAAAGGCCAAAGGAAAAAAAAAAAAAAAAAACCAGTTTTTCTTTCGTTTGGTTTCTCGTTTTCGCTAGTGTTTTTCTTGTTTTGCTTTTCACCTTGGGTTTTCACTCGTGCGTTTTGATGGTTCCAGGTTTGATGCGGTGATGGAGAACTGGCGCTTGGTGTTCAACTGGAGCCAAAGGTACGATTTCGAGCTCCAGGATGTCAAAGTCCGTGTGAGTGGTGACATGGCCTGGGTGACGAGCAAAGCTTTTGTAAATGCGTCTGTGGAGCCTCTCTTGTCTACAAATTGTTACGAGCGCCACGGCCAGCAGTGGTATGTGGTGCATCACCATTGCTCCCCGCAGCTTGACTTTGCTTTCCCTGACTACGGTATGTTTAGCTAGCTGAGGTGGTGCTAAGTATTTTTCTCCCTCCCGTCACAATGAAAGGTGTATATATTGTGAGATCCAGGCAGCCCAGAAAAAGAAGGAAAAAAAAAAAAAAAACAAGCCTTTTTTTCCCTCTCGTGTTTTCAGTCTGTCATGCTATTTTTTCAATGCCATGCTTTGCGAGAGTTTAGTTTCACTCTCGTCATACGTCCTTGGTGAAACCAAAGCTACGATGGATGGTAAGGGAGCTCCTCCGTCTTCTTCTTACTTCCAGAAGCTGCGATTGAATTTATCAATTATTTTGATGAATGGTAAGTGTTTTCCAGGACTTATTTGAGATCATCACCATGACGAGCTCCTTTTTGTACTGCCATAAGTTGCGATCTGAATCGATCAATAGCTTCAGTGGATGGTAAGCGTTTTCCAGGATTCATTTGAGATTATCACCCTGACGAGCTCCTCTTTCTTTTTACTTCCAGAAGCTGCGATTGAATCGATCAATAGCTTCAGTGGATGGTAAGTGTTTTCCAGGATTTATTGAGATCATCACCATGACGAGCTCCTCCTTTTTTTTTCCTTCCAGAAGCTGCAATTGAATCGATCAATAGCTTTAGTGGATGGTAAGTGTTTTCCAGGATTTATTCGTGATCGTCACCATGACGAGCTCCTCTTTTTTTACTTCCAGAAGCTGCGCGATAGATGCAATACAAGCCGATCCTCAAATCTGGGAGTGGCTTTGCGATTCCACCACCACCAGTGACGACGAGTCCTTACAAGACAGTTAAGGTACTTTTTTTTTCCTTTCTTTCTGTCATGGGACGAGGAGAGATCTAATGCGAGCTAGTTTTTATTATCCAGGCCAGTAAGCAGCGAATGCGTGAGTGCCAGATTTAACAGAGCTTTGGCATTGTTTTTACGAGGCCATGCTGCTCACGCTGATGGAATGGAAAATCCTAAAAACTCTTATTCCAGGTAAGTAGTTGCTCTGTGCAAAATGAAGGAGATGCTTACAAAAGAGTTTGGCTTTTGGCACATTTACTAGCCATAACCCCAGCTTTGGCAAATTTATTAGCAATAAAATGACAAGCCTTTGGAAGCTCACAAGCAAAATGCCAACTTTCCCAACCGGGCTACCCAACAACAGCGAGACATTTGCATATTTGCGGTAAGAAATTAAAACTGGTGACAAAGGGATGAGATCCTGCAACGCAGCCAGCCAGTGCTCAAATGATTCTCTTTGGTTTTTTTTCTTTATCTTTTTTCTTCGAGGAATTTCAAGTTTTTTTCCTCCAAGTTTGTGCTTGTTTGGATCTTTGTAAACTTGGAGGAACCAAGTGAGAGTTAACATGATCGATCCATTTGGATCACTGAAAAGTATGAGCCTAGAATGCTAACAACGATTCAAACACATCTTTGGAAAAGAATGCTGCTTGCTTTTGCTTGACTGCTGGCCGGACTGCATGGAGGAACTTTGGTGTCAGAAGATCGGACATGGATGATCCGCCGCCACCGCCCCCAGCGGCTTGCAATCGTGCTCGCACTGGAGCTGCGTCGCGCCGGGCATGCTGCTCCAGCACGGCGATAGATCCCAGCAGCTGGGGCCTCCAAACAACTGGCTCGTGGGATCGCCAAAGAATCCCAGCGCCGCCGCTGGATGATGCTCCAGGGGATCCATGGAGTCGGCAGTGCAAAGGAACGGGAGGAGCGTCGCGGAGGAGTCGGCGACGCTGGCGGCGGTCGTGGCGGCGCTGGGGACGTCTGGCGGCGGCGGTGGCGGCTGGTCGGGCCAATCCAAGTTGAGCGGGAGCGAATCAGACCGCGCAAAATCCAGCAGTGTGGAGATCTCCTCGTCCGTATAGGTGACTGAGGCGGTGGCGGCGGCGGCGGCGACAGGGGTGGCGGTGGCCCCCTCGGAGCCGACAGTTATGGTCGACAAGCCGTCCTCGTTCTTCGCGACTGCCAAGAACAGAGGAATAGAAACTTCGCGTAAAAACAAATCTAAAACACAGAGAAGAAATGAGATGAGATTCACTCACGGATTGGAGGTTGCTCCACCGAGACCGATTGATCATCCCAGTGGTGCCGCTGCTGCTGCTGGAGGTGATTCCCGGTGATGGATTCCTCGCTGTAAACGCAGCACTGTGGCGGCGGCGGCGAGGCTGCCAGGATCTCGTCCCCCCATTTCTGGAACTGATCGTCCATTGGATCCGGTTCCTCGCGGCAGTTATCGTCCACGTCATCGATCCCGCCCTCGTCCGGCGGCGTGAAGATCATCAACTCGCGCTGCTGCCTGGCCGCCAGGAGCTTCGCGTGATCGTCAGCCGAATTGTCGGCCGCCGCCGCCATTCCGCGCTGCGCCACCGAGCAATGCTCGTCCTGGATGAGATGATCCTGGTGGTGATGGTTCGCCAGGAACATGAGTGGATCATTGCCGGCGGAGGCGGAGTTGCTGCCGCTGCCATCCATCATCCTGGCCTCCTGGAGCAGCGCCTCGAGGAGCATTGATCCGGCGGCACTGGCGGTGGTGGTGGCGGCGGTGCCGCTTGCGGTGGTGTTGGATCCCAGGCTCGAGTACATGGGCGATGGATCCAAGGCGCCTCCAGTGGCGCCGGACAACTGGTCGGCCAGGCAGCGCTGCTGGGCCGGCATTTGCTGGTGTTGGTGGTGGTGGCCGATAAACATCTTTGCCGGCGACGAGGCTTGGTCGAATCCCTTGTGGGGATACTCGCCGCCATAGCCGTGGTGGTAGAAGAGCTCCAGGCCGTGGTTCCCGGACTCGCGGAGCCGCTTGGAGGAGGCCCGGCGGAGGATGATCGGGCTGCCGCCACTCCCCACGCCGCCACCGCCGTGGTTGCTGGCGGCGCCCAGGTGATGGATGTACTGCTGGTGATCGAATTGCTGCTGCTGCTGCTGGAAATTGCCGATGCCGCCATGGAGATTCGCCAGGTTGACGTGCGAGCGAAGCTTGCTCGCGGCGGCTGTCGGGCTAGCGGTGGCAGCGGCGTGATCGTCGGAGGGGTTGTCCCCCGCCGCCGCGGAGTGATCGGCGAAGATGCTGCTGGCGGCGTAGCCGGGAGCGTCCGGCGGAGGCGTGGATGCGGTCGCCACCACCATGCTGTGGACGTCCGAGGGATAGACGGGCAGCCCCGCGCGAAGTCGCCGCTTGATCCTCGTGTTCCAGTAGTTCTTGATCTCGTTGTCCGTGCGCCCGGGAAGCTGGAGGAAGAAACAGGGGATGCGGTGAGATGGATCGCGCAATGCGGGTAGCGATCGGGACGATCAGGCAAGCAGAATTGGAGAGGATTTTCAAGGCAGGATAGGAGAATTGGAGAAGAAAATGGAGGGTCAAGCACAAAAGAGGAGAATTCCAGGGAAATTGAGATGGCAGGATGGAAGAATTGGAGGAGATCAACCAGAGGAGGAAGATGGATCCATACCTGGGCGGCCATGCGAGCCCATTTGTTGCCGAGCTTGGCGTGGAGCTCGATGATGAGGCGCTCCTCGTCGGGGGTGAAGGCGCCCTTCTTGAGGTTGGGGCGGAGGTGATTGGCCCAGCGGAGGCGGCAGCTCTTGCCGCAGCGCGAGAGGCCCGAGTGCTTCTGGACGTTGTTCCAATTGCCCTCGCCGTGCTTGCTCACGTAGGCCACCAGGATCGCGTCCTCTGCCGACGTCCACGGTCCCTTCTTGAGCGCCGCCGCCGCCGCCGCCACTGCTGCTGCCGCCGCCGCTGATGAGGATGACGATGAAACCGCTTCCATCCCGCGCGGAGGTCCAAGAAAGGTCCCCCTTCCAGCCCCACTTCCCCGGTGTACATACCCCCCGCGCGCGCGCTCCACGTGGCATCAGACGTGGACATCTCCACGTGGTCATCCACCTGGACGACCCAAATGTCGGATGTATCATCCCTTTTCCCTGAGGGCGAATAATTTACTTTTTCGCCTGTTTGAAAATATGCTGTTTCCCTCCAAAACGTTAGGGCTTTATGGGTCGCGCAGTGAGGTAGGGCTATGGTTTTGTGATCGATCGAGCGATGGACTCTCTCCTCCTGGCCCAGGCATCCCGAGATTGTATGGGCGCAGCGCTCCGACAAGCTCTTCCTCACCGTGGAGCTGCCCGATGCCGTGGATCCCAGCGTCGAGCTCCAGCCGGATGGGAGATTTGTGTTCCGCGCCGCCGCCGCTGATTCCGCCCCCTACGAGGCGAGCCTGGAGCTGTATGGAAGCGTTAGTGTAGAGGTTTGCTCGTTTCTTCTTTTGTTTATGCCTCGATTGATTGGTCTTTCTTGTGCGTGGCTTTGCTCATGAGTTTGATTTGATTTTCGTGACTGGATTTGATATCTCAGGAGAGCAAAGTCAATGTTGGATCCAGACACACTCTTTGCATCATCCACAAGCAAGAACAGGGGTGGTGGAAGCGGCTGCTCAAGTCGGAGGGGAAAATGCCTCCTTACGTGAAGGTGGACTGGAACAAGTGGATTGATGAAGACGAAGAAGCTGACTCCAAGGGCCACGGTATTTGTTTATTCCTTCTCTTCTTCATTCGTGACGATAGAGCTGATTTCCTTGACTTTTTCTCTTGTGTTTCCGATGGCTAGACACATTCAGTCTCGCCCGCAAGGGAGCTTCCTCTTCCTCGGTATGTAATTCTCTCGTTCGTGAATCCATTGCTATACTCAACGCTTTTCCTTTTGTCACAAACCAGGATCACCATTTCAACACCGAAGCTGATGGCGAGGATGAAGAAGGGATGCTTTGTAAGTCTCTAAGCTCTTGCTGTGCTGCTAATGAATGACTTATCTATCTTGTCCAGATCTTCCAGAACTAGAAAAGGAGGCCTAGCGACTTGTGACTACGTATATGAGTCGAGACTGTCATCGTTTGCAGCTAAGTTCTTTCGTTTAAAAACTTGGAACTTCTCCAGGGTCTGGCCTTTTCGAGCATGACTGATGAAGAGGATGAGCAACAGGAGCGATTGCATCCAGCTGATGCAGTCTTGCAGCTCTCTGTCCGGTGCCAAGCAAATCCATGCCCGGCTTCAGAAGATCGCCCCGTCGAGCGACACCATGCTGTGGAACATGTTGGTCCAGCTCTACGGCCGATGCGGCAGCGTCCTCCTCGCCCGCCAAAGCTTCGACCACATTGCTTCCAAAGATTCCGTGTCGTGGAGCACCCTGGTATCGGCATATGCCCGAAACGGGCATCTCGAGGAGGCCAAGGAAACTTTCGACAAGATGCCCGAGAAGAACACGGTTGCGTGGACTGCCATGCTGGCGGCATTCGCCCAGCACGGCCACGTGGACAGCGCCCGGGCGCTGTTTGATTCCATGCCCGTCCAGGATCTGGTGACATGGAATGCCATGCTGGCGGCATATGCCCAAAACGGGTATCTGGAGAAAGCACTGGAGCTCTTTAGTGCCATGCCGTTGTGGAATCTAGTGTCGTGCAACACGATGCTGGCAGCATATTGGCAAAACGGGCATCTAGACCTGGCAAAGAATCTGTTTGAGGAGATGTTGGACCACAACTTGGTGTCGTGGAACACGATGCTAGCGGCGTATTCACAGAATGGGCATTTGGAAGATGCTAAGCATCTCTTTGATGCAATGCCGCTGCTGGACCTTGTTTCATGGAACACAGTGCTCTCGGCTTATTTCCAGAATGGCTATTCAGAAGAAGGATTGGCGATATTTGATTTGATGCCCGAGTGGAACATCATCTCTGAGAATGCCGTGCTCGCTTCACACGCACAGAGTGGCGATTTAGACGCAGCAAAGCGAGTGTTTGACTCGATGCGCCAGAGGAATCTTGTCTCATGGAACTCGATGCTCTCGGCTTATGCTAACAGGAGCAAAGTTGACGAAGCTAAGAAAGCTTTCGATTCAATGCCACAGAGGAATCTTGTGTCTTGGAACGCGATACTCTCTGCTAATGCCCAAAACGGGCGTTTGCAGGATGCCAAAGATTTGTATGTAGAGACTCCTCTCGTGAATTCAGTATCTCGCAATGCAATTCTTTCTGTACATACGCAATGTGGGGATTTAGAGCAGGCCAGATACCTGTACGAAAGCACGCCGTACCAGGACATGGTATCGTCCATCGTTATGGTTGCAGCATATGCCGCTAGCGGGTATTTGGAAGAATCCAAGCGCTTGTTTGAATCTATGCCGGTACAAAATCTGGTGTCAACTACCGCGCTGTTGACCGCATATTCCCAGAACGGGCATCTTGACGTGGCCGAGCAGCTCTTCTACGATATGCCACACAGGAACCTCGTGACGTGGAATTCCATGCTCTCGGCATATTCCCAGAACGGGCATTTTAAGCAAACAGCGAAGTTCTTTGATGCGCTGCCAGAGAGGGACGTGGTGTCGTGGAGTGCAATCCTGGCCGCCCACTCCCACAACCGGCAGTCATCCCAGGCGTTGGATGCGTTTGGTGTGATGAAGACCGAGGAATATCCCGACCCTTCATGCTTTGTGTCGGTGCTTGTTGCTTGTAGCCATGGGGGCAAAGCTTCTCTAGGGAGGAATCTATTCTCCTCCATGATTGTAGACTATGCCCTAACTCCCTCAAGGCAGCATTTTTGCTGCATGGTAGATCTCTTGAGCAGATCCGGGCATCTGGAAGATGCCGAGATCCTCATCACGGAGATGCCCTGCGCTCCCACTGGCCCCGAGTGGAGATGCCTTCTCTCGGCATCTCGCGGATCCAACGGCGGGGATGACCCAGGGAGTGTGGCGTCGCGCGTCATGAGCTTGGACGGGGAAGATTCCGCGGCATATGTCCTGCTTGCCAGCACATACTCCAACAAGCAAAAGAAGGAAATGGCCGCCGCCGAGATTCGAGCACGGGACCTCTGCCAAGGCGACGAACGTTTTCTTCCTTGTCCGGCATTAAAAGTGACACCGCCTCCTTCGAAAGAATAAGAGCGCCACTTTGTGTTCGTCCCATTCTTTCTTCGTCTTGCTGGCTCTGGCGCGCTAGGGTTTGTCCGATCCTATCGCGAGCGGCGAATTCTGTGCGTCACAGGTAGGCTGCATTGGCCGGCGCGACGATGAAATCCGGAAATGCGGCGCCGGAATCGCTCCGGCAGCGCGCCGCGCGAGCGATCGGCAACGCCTTGTTCGGCCTCTTCGTCGCCGTGGTGCTGCTGCTCACCGTCTTCGCCGTCACGTACCAGCCGCCGGATCCGTGGCTCGACACCGCCGCCAGCGCCGTCCGGATGAAGCAGCTCTTCAACAAGGTCGTGGACAACGCCACGTTTCAGACGGCAGGATCGATCTTCCTGACTGGCGAGGACGCCCTTGCACCGGCGAATTCCAGAGCCGGGGGCTCGATCTCCATCGAGGACGCCCAGGACGCGGCCGAAAAGGCCCTGGAGGCTACCAGGGGGCTCAATAATGGCGGCAAGGATCGTGGGTGCGTGGAAAGCGACATTGTTGTGAATTGCTCGGATCCGGGGGTGCTAGCCGCGATCGAGAAGGTCAACTTGGAGAAGTTCCCGGAGATCGACGCTTTCGAGTACAGAGTCCCCGTCCAGGGAGGGGATGAGAGGAGCTGCGATGTGGCGTGGAAGTACCGGCCGAGGAGGGAGAGATCCAAGAGGATGTACAGGGACTACCGGCGCTACACTCTAGTGCTGGAGCCCTCTTGCGAGTATCAAGTGACCGACGTGGGGGACTGGCACTCTGGGAGGAATGCGCGGCTCCAGAGGTTTCACGGGATCAATGCCTTCAACGATTCCATCTCGTCTCGTGGCGATGATGATTCTTCGAGCGTCGGAAGGTTCTTGTACTACACTCGAGGAGGGGATCATTGCAAGGGGATGAAGCAATTCATGTGGAGCTTCCTCTGCGCGCTCGGAGAAGCTCAGTACTTGAACCGGACGCTGGTTGTCGATCTGGGCTTTTGTCTCTCGGGGAAGGATAACTTTCCTGGCCGAGGTGACGAGCCCGGGAAAGACTTGAGGTTCTACATTGATTTCGATCACCTCCGGGAGTCGACCTCGGTGATCGAGCTCAAGGAATTCTCCAAGTTGAACAAGAAGCACAAGCTCGGCAAGATTCGCAAGAGGGTGATCTCGGACAATGTGAAAGTGAGTCCGATGGAGCTCAGGGACGAGACGAGCACGACCGTCGAGAGGAGCTTCCGGGAGAGCAGCGAACCGGACAACTATTGGTATCGCGTTTGCGAGGGGGAGACCGAGAAGGTGATCCAGCGGCCCTGGCATATGATCTGGAAATCCAAGAGACTCATGAATATCGTCAACACGATTTGCGGCAAGCTGGAGTGGGACTTCGATGCCGTACGAGTCGAGAGAGGTGAGAAGGCTGCGAACAGGCAACTTTGGCCTAACCTCGACAAGGATACCTCGGCCGAGGCGGTGTTGAGCAAGCTCTCGGGAAGGATTGATGCTCAACGCTACGTTTACATATCGACCAACGAGAGAAGTCCCGGTTTCTTCCACAAGCTGAAGGAGAAGTATGAAGTGTCGGTGCTGGACGACTACAAGGATCTCTGGGGGCCTGGCAGCGAGTGGTATAACGAGACCATGGCCTTGACGAGGGGAAAGCCGGTGGAGTTCGACGGCTACATGAGAGACGCCGTGGACTCGGAGATGTTTCTCAGAGGGAAGAAGCGTATCGAAACTTTCGGCGATCTTACCAGCGACTGCAAGGACGGGATCAACACATGCTAAGCTGCTGCTGCTGCTGGTTTGATGGATTCCATCTTCGTTTATTCCTTTCTCTCTTAGAATAATCCTTCGGATCCATTGCTGCTTGCAGTAGCAGCGGTGGAAAGGAAAGAAAGAAAATCAAAGTCGCCGGCCAGTGTAGTACTTGCTCATTCTTCCCGGAGAGAGACAGAGGTGGGCTCTCAGGTTCTTTGCATTGAAAAAACTCGTAATTTTCCAGCCAGGCCACCACGGCAGTAGCAACAGCAACCACCGCCGCATTGAATCCGTGAAAAGAAAGATGGGCCCGGAAATGAAGAGCCCGAGTGACTGCCCGCTCAAGGAAGGTGAGGTAAAAGGTGAGGTGAGTGAGGTCCACTGCTGCTTGTCTGCAAGCTCATTAAAAAAGCCTGGAGTTCTTCGCATTTTTGTGGTAGTATGTTTGATGTGATTGGCGTGTTGTCGGTGAATAAGTGCGTCCCGTTCCAGTCCAGAGATGGAGAGATCCATTGTTTCGTTTCACGTGTTGGTTTGTCGCTGAATTCGATTCCTTTGCTTCCGTGCCTGTCACGCTCACGGGATTGTACTCTTCGCGGAGTTTGGAGTTAGATCTCGTCGTCCCATAGCTCTTGGACCGTCTTGTACGGGCTGGTGGTGGAGTTGCAAAGCCACTCCCATGCTGCTAGTCTCCTTTGCGGCACGGTGGACTCGATCGTCTCGAGGTCCTCGGGAAGCAAGTCGAAGTCGAAGCTTTGAATGTTCTCACGCAGTCGCTGTGGATTGTAGCTCTTGACGACGGCGCCGACGCCGATCTGCGTGAGCCACCGAAGCACGATCTGTGCAGCAAAAGATAGCCGAGAAGAGAAGTGGAGTTTCGTCCTGGACGAGCAGAAAGCTTGTAGTACCTGGGCAGGAGATTTGTGGTGCTTTGCTGCGAGCTCCAGGACGACGGGATCCTCGAGCACGGATTTGGATCCCCAGACTTTGCCGAGGCCCCCGAGAGGTGACCATGCAAAGACCTGGACGTCGTGAGCTCTACAGAAGTCTCTAAGTTTCTTTTGCTGCCAAATGGGATGGAGCTCCACCTTGCGAGAAAAGATTTCTTGGTTAGTTTTCCTTGAGATCCATGGACTTTTCCTTTTGTTACCTGGTTTGCGGCCGGAGGGATTCGAGCGTATTCGAGCAAGTCTCCCAGTTTCTTGGAGCTAAAGTTGCTAACACCGATGGCTTTCGCGAGTCCTTTGTCGAAACAATCCTCCATTGCCTTCCAGGTGCCTGGAATGTCCAGAGGAAGAATTTCGTGTTCCGTGGGTGGAAAACGAGCTCCTTTTGTAAGCTTGACAGGCGCGTGTATCAAAAACAAGTCCACGAATTCCACCCGTAGAGCACTGGAGAAAGAGAAGATTTAGTCCGCAATCTACCAAGAAAAGATGAAAGATTGTCCTAGCCTGAGGCTCTTCTTCAATGCCGGAAGAACATCTTGCGGGTCATGGTCGTCGGATCTCAGCTTCGTCGTCAGGAAAACCTCCTCCCTCGTCACCAATCCGGCATCGAAAGCGATCGCGAGCGCCTCGCCGATCGCTGTCTCGGTGCCATAGCCGGCAGCAGTGTCAAAGTGTCGATAGCCAAGCTGTTCGAGGTCCCAAAATTTGTGGGAACAAACGGCGAACAAAGAAGTCGAGCAAACCTTGATTGCGCTAAGAACCGCCTCCTTGATTTCTGCTGCGCTGGTGAAAGTCCCACTTCCAAATCCGACAGCGGGAGCGCGCGCCCCCGTCCTCAGCTGGAAAACTGGGGCCTCCATTTTGGCCAAGAGCCCTAGAATGCCAGTGATTTAAGCGGTACCATTGATTCGAGGCAATATGAGCCGTCCGATCCGGTCGCGCATCAGCAATGTCATGGCGCATTCTTGTTGCCCTCGTCCGCCCGTGGCAGATTTTGACAATGGCGACGATACCAACGACAAGAGTGGTGCTAGGATGATCGGACGTATAGAAGTACTTTGGTGAAATCGCAAAAAATGCTAGAATTTCAGCGTGTTTCTTGATATGCTCTTTTGGACGAAGGAGCTCGCTGTTTTCATCCGCAGAAGCTGTGAAGTCGCCGTGGCGGCGGCTGAGAGAAATCGAAGAGTGCCAAGAGAAGCTTACTGACGTCCTGGTATGTGCTTGATTTCCAACTTAGCTGCTTTAAGCCGGCTGGGATCAAGCACTTGGCCGAAGTAACACGATACTGCAGCGCGTGTGTTGCGTACCCCTTTGCAGCGAAGGAGAGGCGGTTTGCTCTGGTGATGAATGAATCTTTTGACAATGATGGAATTCAAGAGACGCAACCCAATTGCCTCGAACTAAGACGTTTCTAATAATTTGATTTGTTAGACTTCCACACTATGGATTTTTAAGGGGCTACTCTGCGCGCTCTTCACGGTGAGTTCCCTCTATGTCTTCCTGTTTGGCGAGCTGGCTAGTCAGAATGGTCTCGACGACATAAACTTCAGTGTAGACGCGAAAGGCACAGCAAGCAGTCACAGGTCACAGGTCTAAGCAGGGGGACAGAGTGCTGGTTGTTTCGTCAACTTTGGTGTTTTTGGAGTGTTCGACGGCCACGGCGGTTCAGGGGCCACTGACTTAAGGTCAGGACATGGAAGGCATGTTTATGGAGAAGGCTAAGCCATGGCCACTTAGTCTTGAGCTCGTCATAGTGGTCACCATGTCCACCATCTTTGTAATGCCCAGCGCTTTCTCCTGCTCCTCCTTCTGGTCGTGGAGGCCTGACATGGGCCTCCTAAAATGTAGGAACCATGGTATAGTTAATTTCCTAAAGCCCTACCCCTAAAAAGGCTTTTTCCTACAGTAGCGCAGAATGCTGCGGCGGTAGGCGTGAGCGAGGAGGACTGCCGCTGCTCCGGCTGCTCCGATCGAGGAAAGAAGAAGACGGCGGCGATGGAGGCAGTGATGGCGGAGCCGCCCGAGGATATGAGTGGACATGTGCTGTGCTTGGCGGAGCTAGGAAGAGTGCAGGAGCGGGTTGTGGTCATTTTCCATGCAGCTCTTCCAAACGCGCGAGATGTGCACCTCTACTCTGTACATCTCGAACTTCTCAAGTTACGCCGATCTCGACTCATGGGTCACATTCGAGCATCCCTGGAGCTGTCACCGTGCGGTACGCCACAAGCTCTGGAGCACGCATTCACAAAGTAAGAATATGTGCATGGTACGTTTTTTTAAAATATGGGTGGCTCGTTTGAAGGATGAATGACGAGCTGCGGGCTGTGGTGGGAACATCAGATTGCTGGGTATGTGGTGATCTCTCTTCTTGTCTGATGGATTACTGCTGTTGCTGTGGTTACAGAATTGGTGTGCGCAAAACAGGTCCTTGGTGGTGGTGCTTGGAGACGCGCATGTGTATGTGTTTGGCGAGGCCCTTGCGTCAGTGATGCTGTGCCGAAGTGGGAAGGACGAGAGGCTAACTCGTCCAAGTTCTCTCCACCGTCTCAAAAATGCTAGCCCCCCGCAAAGTAGCAGTCTACCCTTTTATTATCACAAGGTACTAATGTTTTTGTTGAAATTTCTTATTCTGGAAGCTTGTGCACGCAGGAGCGCCTGACTACAGCAGACTCTTACCTTATCGTTGCGTCAAGACACCTCGAGCGTCACATAGATAGCGATTATACAAGCGTTTTCACCACTCGGATTGACGCACTTGTGAGTATTGCATACTTCTGATCCGCAAACGAGCTTGTAATGGACAGGGCCTCGAGGAAGCGTGCCGCCAGATTGCCGGTACAGGGACTGATGAATGCAGGACATTCGCAGTAGTTGCTGTTGGGGAGCAGCTTCAACAGAAAGTGGCCAATGGAGTGACTCAAGAGGTGAGTGGACAGCTACACAGCGCTGCAGAGGACAAAGAGGAAGGCCCAATCGAAATATTTCCCGATCCTGCGGAGGAATCTGTGTCTGAAGACGAAAATGAGTTTGAAGATGAGTTTGAAGATGAGTTTCAAGAGTTTGAAGACGAAGACGAGTTATATGGTGTTATACCCCATGGTTTGCGCCCCCTAGGTATGTACAGTTACTACAGTACATCCATAAACTAATTGTAGCTATATAACCATATTACTGTTTTCAGATAATGGGAACCCCCAATTACCCGAACCCGTCACCTCTTGCGAGCCCCGACCTCGCAGGGACCCCTGCATAAGGGTGATGGACCTCAAGGTAATAATGCTTCAAATTTATCATTCTTGTTTTTTCGATTGTCCGAATTTGTGGTTTGAGGTTTAGTGGCTTTTGATCAGGAAAAGGACCTCAAGCTTGTTTGTAAAGTCGGCTCTTGCAAGTTTGTGATTAAAAGCGGGGACATAAGTGAGTGGTTTGTGGACGGAAAGAATGATGCTATTGTAATTCCTGTGGAAGATCAAATACACAGAGGTAAAGCAAAGGGGTATTTGGCATTTGACATGAGCTTTTGTCTTTTCAGAAATATGTTTTGCTACTGGTTCCTTTACTGGCTTGGATATCATGTAATTGTCTTTCCTTATTTTGTTTTTATTATCTTTTAACTAACTTGTTTCTCAGCCCTTCAGCAGGACTGCCAGCATATAAAATCATTATTACTCAAGGCCTAAAATACTCCAAAGTCAGGGAGACGGAAGCTGTGGAGCATCTTGGTCTCACTTACAGGTATGCCGGAGTGAGTAGCAGATTCAATACATTGTGTTTTTGCTATCACAGGGATGCTATATCATTTGCTTGCGGGGAGGGCGTTAAGCACATAGCGCTCCCAGCTATCTCCTGCGGACATGGCGGGTTTGTACTCACACCTTCCTTCTTGGATACTGAGTTCGCATTGTATTTCAGGTTTCCTCTGGATAAAGCGGCATGGATTGCTGTAGAAAGCGTACAAAAGGCACTCAAAAGTGCTAAAGTGTCCATTGAGGTAAGCTACCCTGAATTAGACATGCGTTTTTTAACTCTGTGTTTGAAACTGTAGGTTCACTTTGTCATAAAGGATGAACCCACCTGGAGGGCCTGGGTAGCTGCAACAGACCTCCTTGCATTTAAGGATTATGATGGCTACGTATCTTGTTGGAGCACCAGACTTCCCTTTTCATTCACCTCCGAAGGGTTTCTTATTGAAGATCCTGAAAAAAAGTTCTAAACAGTGGATAAAGAAAGTGTTTAAAAGCAGATCTATCTAAACAAACCGATGCTTATGTTCATAGGAAATCAATTTTCTCCAGGAAATTCACTGCATGTAATTCACAACTCGGGCAGTAGCAGCCAACCGGTCTTCACCTTCAAAGACGAGAGCCTGTTCATCCAGTGCAACTCGTGTGCTCTTCTCTCTCTCTCTGTGTCTCTGTGGCTTTTCTTGGATCCAGAAACAGCGAAAGGTCTGCTATGCGCAAGCGTTTCTCCAGCGAGCAGCATCCAAACGACAGAGCTTCTTACTTGGTTCTCGTGCTGGGATTGATGCTCTGGATCCAAGTAAGTTGGTACACAGGTTTTCAATTTTGAGAGAATTTCTAAGCTTTCCGACACCCACCGCTTCACCTGATTTTGGCCTATGGCTTATACAGCGGTGGAGCACCGCTTAAGATCAGCCTACCGCACACACCTGGATGGCATCCAAAGACACGAAGACAGTAGTGTTGATCCATCCAACCGGATGCGCGCAAATTCGACTCCTACCTGCACAAACATTCTGGATTCTCCTCCCACGACTCCACCAAAATGAATAAGCATATAATTTAACCTATTAGAATCTGTTATTAATCTAGGGATCATGAAGCCGCTACTCTGTGCTCTCTTCATGGTGAGTTCCCTATACTTGTGCTATGTCTTCCTATTTGGCGAGCTGGCTAGTCAGAATGGTCTCAAGGACATAAATTTTAGTGTAGACGGGAAAAACAGCTGGTCATATGGCACAGCAGGCAGTAGTGGTCACAGGTCTAAGCAGGAGGACAGAGTGCTGGTTGTTTCAAGCCATGCCGACTTTGGTGTTTTTGGAGTGTTTGACGGCCACGGCAGTTCAGGGGCCAGTGACTTTGCAGCTAACACATTCTACCCCGTCTTCTCCAGACGCCTCGCAGAAGGCCAGAGACTTGGCGAGGCCTTACAAATGGCAATCGAGGACGTGGAGAACATGTTCATGGAGAAGGCTCACAAGCAAGCATGGTACTCCGGCTCCACAGCATGCATTGCAGTGGTCACTCCACAAGTGGCGATGGTGGGAAACGTGGGCGACTCGAGAGCTCTGGTTTGTGTGGCACGGAAAAACTCAACAACGAATTTGATAGAAATGGACAGCACTCAGCTCAGCAAAGATCACCACCCGGAGTTGGCAGAGGAGAGGCGTCGGATTGAGGCTGCCGGAGGCTTTGTCGAGTTTGGAAGAGTGAATGGAGAGCTAGCAGTGTCTCGGGTGATTGGAGACATGGAATTCAAAGCTTTTGGCGTGAGTGCACAAGCAGATGTTGTGGAGTACAGGATTGGGAACAGTAATGAAGAGTTTCTGGTGCTTGCTTCGGACGGGATCTTCCAGAGGATGTCGAACCAGGACGTGTGCAACACAGTCATCATTGCTAGAGGATCTGGAGCACTGGACCATGAATCGAGGAGTGGACTTTCTCAGGTGGCTGCTGTGATGATCGTGGAGGACGCACTTGAAAGTGGGAGCAGTGACAATCTCTCGGTCATTGTTGTTCCTCTCGTGGGAGAGAGTGAGCATAACAACAATAAGCTTTCAGTGACTTTTCATTAAAGTTTAGTCCAAACATAATAAGGATTGACAGATTGAGTTGAACAATCAACTCAAGAACCCTAAATTACCACGGATTTAAACAGTACCGTCGATTCTAGACAATATGGGCCGTTCGATCCGGCCGCTCTCGTTTTATGCGTTTGCTCCTCTCTTCCCTGCGCGACTCCCTGACCGATCTCTTGCGCCCCAATGCGATCCCCACCTCCGCCGCCTACGCCGCCGCGCTCCGCCAATGCGCCGATCTGGGCGCGCTCCAAGAGGGCCGCCGGATCCACGCCCACATCGCCAGCCACGGCCTCGACCGCGACACGTTCCTGGGCAACACCCTCGTCCAGATGTACGGAGCCTGCTCCTCCGCCGGGGACGCTCTCCAGGCGCTGGAGAGAATCCGCGAGAGGAACGTCTACTCGTGGACCATCATGGTCAAGGCTTATGCCCAGTCGGGGCATCTGGAGGACGCCCGGCGTACCTTCGACCAGATGCCTGCGTGGAACGCGATTACGTGGAACACGCTGCTGGCGGGGCTCCTTCACCACCGCCGGATCGACCTCGCCAACTTTGCCTTCGAGAAAATGCCCGAACGCGACATGTTTGCGTGGAACTTGATGCTCGCAGCGTATGCCCAAAACGGGCACATGCTGAAAGCCAGAGCGATGTTTGATTCTATTCCCAGTCCGGGGATCATCTCTTGGAACATCATGATCCAGGTTTACGGAAAGGAGGGGTTGACAGAACAAGCACTGAAAATCTTCCACTCCATGCTTCACAGAGATACCTACTCGTGGAACTCGCTCGTCGCGGCATTTGCCCAAAAGGGGGACCTGGAGCGCGCGAGGGTGGTGTTCGATCGGATGCCCGAGCAGAGCGTCGTGACGTGGACGGTCATGGTGTCCGGCTACGCGCAGCACGGCTGCCTGGACGAGGCGGCGGCGCTCTTCGAATCCATGCCCAACAAGGACGCCCCGACGTCCTCCTGGGCGTGGAACGCGCTCATCGCCGGATTCGGCGAGCTGGGCGACCTCCAATCCGCTCGCCGCCTCTTCGATGCCATGCCCGTCCGCGACGTCGCCTCCTGGAACTCGATCATCACGGGCTACGCCGAGAACGGCTGCCTGGACGACGCCAAGAGCCTGTTTGACGCCGCCGAGGAGCAAAACATCGTGTCGTGGAACTCGATGATCCGGGCCTACTCGCGCAACGCCGAGGTCGAGCGGGCGCGCGGGGTCTTCGATCGGATGCCCGGCCGCGACACGGTCTCCTGGAACGTCATGATCGCGGCGTACCTCCAGCACGGGAGCTTGGATCCCGCGAAGGATCTCTTTGATCTTTCCCCGCAGAGAGACGCGGTGACCGAGACCGCGATGGTTTATGGATATGCCCAGGCCGGGCATCTGGCTGTATCAAGCGCCATCTTCGAGTCCATGAAGGAGAAGGATTCGGTCGCGTGGAATGTGATGATCGTGGCGTATGCGCAGAATGGTTTTCTAGCGGAGGCAGCGGAGGTTTTCGACCGAGCGCCGCGGCGAGACGTTGCGTGCTGGAACTCGATGATCACCGCAAATGCCAAGAATGGGGATCTGGAGCGCGCCATTGCGATGTTTGAGAGGATCCCCAGCCGCGACTGCGCGTCGTGGGCGGTGATGATCTCCGGGCTGGGGCAGTCGGGCCTCTCCCGCGACGCGCGGCGCGTCTTCTCGTCGCTGGATCTTGAGGGCTGGCGGCCGGACGAGGCCGTGATGGCGGGGATGATCGAGTCGTGCTGCGACGCCGCTGGGATCGCAAGCGCCCGCGAGTGCGCGGCGGAGCTGGGGCTGGAATCCCGGCCCGCCATCGCGATAGCGCTCGTCAACGCCTACGCTAAGAGCGGCTTCCTGGAGACGGCGGCGGCGGTGTTCTTCCACGGCATCACCGCGGCGCGCGACGTGGTGGCGTGGACGACCATGATCACCGCCACCGCCCAGGCGGGCCACGGCGGCGCCGCCCGCGAGCTCTTCCAGTCCATGCAGCTCCACGGGATCAAGCCCAACAGCGTTACCTATCTCAACATCCTGTGCGCTTGCAGCTACGCGGGGCTCGTAATCGATGCCTGCTGCTACTTGCGATCCTCCATCGGGGACTACTGGATCGCGCCCAAGATGGATCACTTCGTGTGCCTGGTGGACATTCTAGGGCGCGCGGGGATGATCGCCGAGGCGGAGGAGGCGCTGTGCGGCATGCCCTACGAGGCCGACTCCATCGCCTGGTTGACGATGCTGGCGGCGTGCAAGAACCACGGCGAATCGCGGCGGGGGACGGCAGCCGCGGCGGCGATCCACGAGCTGGAGCCCGGCGCCGCGGCGCTCTATCTCCTTTCAAGCAATATGAGCGTGGAGGAAGCCCACGAAATTTAGGGTTAGGGCTCTTGGCCATGGCCGGGGAGGAAAGGGCGCTCAAGACGTGGGTGAGCGACGAGCTCCAGGAGATCCAGGGCTTCTCCGAGGCGGCCGTGGTGTCGTTCGTCATCGGGCTCGCGAAATCGGCGACGAGCTCCGCGGCGCTCGCGTCGCGGCTCAAGGAGAACTCGTTCCCGCCTGGCCAGGTAACGGACAGGCTCGCCCGCGAGCTCTTCGCAAGGGTTCCTCGCAAGAAATCGGGGCTCAGCGGCTACCAGCAGGCGGAGATCGAGGCGGCGAGGTATGCCCGCAAGCAGGAGGAGTACAAGCTCGTGGCTGGGGACGACGAGGGGAATGTAGCGCCATCGCCATCGCCAGCGGCGAAGAAACAATCCAAGCATGGCAATCTTCGAAAGCGCGGGAAGGAGGAGGAGAACGAGGACGAGGACGTGGGGATTCTGTCCAAGCGGGGGCGGCGGACGCTCGAGGAGGAGGAGGAGGTGGAGAGGGAGCGGGCCAGGGAGAAGGATCAGCGGGAGAAGGAGGAGCTGGAGGCCAGGCTGAAGGAGAGGGACGAGGCCAGCACCAGAAAGGTGATGGAGCACAAGATTTCTCGCGAGCAAGAGGAGGAGAACAAGCGGCGTTTGCAAGCACAGGAGAGTGACGAGGGGCTGAAGGTGGCGAGGGAGATCTCTCGCCAGTCCTACCTCAAGAAGAGGCAAGAGAAGAAGCTGGAGGAGCTCAAGGACACGCTCATCGACGAGGAGTTGCTGTTCGCGGAGGTGAAGCTGACGGCGAGGGAGAAGAAGGAGAAGGCGTACAAGCAGGAGGTGTTTGATCTGGCCATGAAGATGACCAAGGACACGAACGACATCGTCGGGTACCAGATTCCAGAAGCCTACGACGATGAAATCTCCAGGGTCAAGCAGGAGAGGCGCTTCGCGGTGGCCCTGGAGCGATACAAGGACCCGGATCCTGAGGACAGGGCTATACCCTTTGCCGAGCAGGACGCGTGGGAGGACTACCAGAGCGGGAAAGCCAAGATGAAATTCGGTGCCGCGGACAAGAAGAAGGCTGACGAGTACGAGTTTGTGTTCGAAGACCAAGTCCAGTTCGTCCAAGCCGATATCATGTCCGGCGAGAACGAGCCCATGGATGAAAAGGAGAGCAGGAAAGCTGCGGCGCAAACGGAGCACGAGCACATTCTTGAGGAGAGAAAGAAGCTGCCAATCTATCCATACCGGCAGGAGCTACTGGATGCCATAGAGCAGTACCAGGTTCTTGTGATAGTGGGAGAGACGGGGTCGGGGAAGACGACGCAGATACCACAGTATCTTCACGAAGCCGGCTACACTGAGCGTGGAAGGATCGGGTGCACTCAGCCCCGGAGGGTGGCGGCGATGAGTGTGGCGGCTCGAGTGGCCCAAGAGATGAATGTGAAGCTCGGGCATGAGGTGGGCTATTCGATTCGGTTTGAAGATTGCACCTCGGAAAAGACTAAGCTCAAGTACATGACAGACGGTATGCTACTGCGTGAGTTTCTCGGCGAGCCGGATCTCAAGAGCTACAGCGTGATGATCGTCGACGAGGCTCATGAGCGGACCGTCTCGACGGACGTCCTCTTTGGGCTGATGAAGGACATCACTCGCTTCCGGCAAGATCTCAAGGTGCTGATCTCCAGTGCGACCTTGGACGCCGAGAAGTTCTCCAAGTACTTTGATGACGCCCCGATCTTTACCATTCCGGGAAGGCGATATCCAGTGGACATGATGTTCACCAAGGCTCCGGAGGCGGACTACTTGGACGCTGCTGTTGTGACGGTGCTGCAGATCCACATCACGCAGCCCCCCGGCGGAGACATCCTCGTGTTCCTGACGGGTCAGGAGGAGATCGAGGCAGCGGAGGAGATTTTAAAGCAGAGAACGAGGGGCTTGGGGTCCAGGATAGCAGAGCTGATAATCTGTCCCATCTACGCCAACCTTCCATCGGACTTGCAAGCAAAGATCTTCGAGCCGACTCCCCCTGGAGCACGAAAGGTGGTGCTTGCGACAAACATTGCCGAGACGTCCTTGACGATTGACGGGATCAAGTACGTGGTCGACCCCGGCTTCTGCAAGCAGAAGAGCTTCAACCCGAGGACCGGGATGGAGTCGCTGATCGTGGCTCCAATCTCCAAGGCGGCGGCAATGCAGAGAGCCGGACGAGCAGGGCGGACGTCCCCCGGCAAGTGCTTCCGCCTCTACACGCAGTGGTCGTTCAACAACGAGATGGAGGACAACACGGTACCGGAGATCCAGCGGACCAACTTGGGCAACATCGTGCTCATGCTCAAGAGCCTGGGCATCAACGACCTCATGAACTTCGACTTCATGGATCCTCCCCCTGCGGAGACGCTGATGAGGGCCCTGGAGCAGCTGTACGCGCTGGGCTCGCTCAACGATCGCGGCGAGCTGACGAAGCTGGGGAGGAGGATGGCCGAGTTCCCGCTGGACCCGATGCTGTCCAAGATGATCGTGGCGTCGGACAAGTTCAAGTGCTCCGAGGAGATCATCTCCATCGCCGCGATGCTCTCGGTTGGCAACGCCATCTTCTACCGGCCAAAGGACAAGCAGGTCCACGCCGACACGGCCCGCATGAACTTCCACTCCGGAAACGTTGGCGACCACATCGCGCTCATGCGCGTCTACGACTCGTGGAAGGAGACCAACTATAGCTCCAACTGGTGCTACGAGAACTACATCCAGGTGCGCAGCATGAAGCGGGCTCGCGACATCCGGGACCAGCTCCAGTCGCTGCTGGAGCGCGTGGAGATCGAGCTGACGAGCAACGCAAACGACCTGGAGGCGATCAAGAAGACGGTGACGGCGGGCTTCTTCTACCACACGGCGCAGATCCAGAAGAACGGCTCGTACAAGACGGTGAAGAACCCGCAGGTGGTGCACATCCATCCCAGCTCGGGCCTCTCGCAGGTGCTGCCGCGGTGGGTGGTGTACAACGAGCTGGTGCTCACCACCAAGGAGTACATGAGGAATGTGATCGAGGTGAAGAAGGACTGGCTCGTGGAGATCGCGCCGCACTACTACAAGAAGCAGGACGTGGAAGATGTTGGCGCTGGGAAAATGCCCCGGGGGAAAGGGAGGGCCGCGTCCACGGCCTAGCTTGCGCTTGCTCGATCCAAGCAAGAGCTCTATTGTGGAGAATGCTTTGCTTGATCCAAGCAAGGGCTTTACTGTGGAGAAGAAGAGGTTGCTTTGCTTGATTCAAGCAAGAGCGCTACTGTGGAGGAAGAAAGAGCTTCCTTTGCTTGATCCAAGCAAGAGTGCTACTGTGGAGAAAGAGGTTACTGTGCTTGATCCAAGCAAGAGCTGAGTTTGGAGAAGACAGTTAACTTTGAGATGTGAGATGTGAGATGTGAGATGTGAGATGTATCATACAAAAAATTAAAGAGATGTGGATGGCGACTCTAAATTTTTTTTTTGTCTTCCTTGATACTATATTGGTACAGCTTGGTCTTCTTCTTCGAGCAATGGTTTGAGGAGCTCGAGCACAGCATTCTTCTGAGCGGTCATGGCCACCACCACTGCGTCGCGCGCTTTCTCGCAGCTCTGTGGATCCGCGAAAGCTAGAGTCCAGCGCCCGTCGACTCGTTTCGTGCGACTGGGGGGCTTGGTTTGCTTGCGGTGAGGCCATTGCGGTGGCCGGATTCTTAGATGGAGCCACCGCTTGTGTTCCTCGTCAATCTCGGGCTGGAACAACCAAAGTTATAAGCGAACTTAGGAACTTTAGATTTTCTTACCAGGCAGCCAGCCAAAGGAGCTATGACACGAATGACTCCCTTGGGCGAGACGCCGTCGGCCAAAACGAGCCAGCCCGCTGTGAAACTTACTGTTGGTACGAGATACATGTCGCGCTCTTTGCCTCTCTCGAATGCAATCCGGCACGGTAGCGCGTCCACGGAGCCTGCAAGATTGTCATCACGGTTTTCGAGTGTAGTTGTGAGGTAACTTACTTAAATCCACCTCGGTGCCTACTTTCGCTACATATTCGCCGCTGTATGACATGTCTAGAGGGAGTGCTTCTGGGACCGACTCGCCAATCAGAAGATGAAGTAGCTGGTGCAGGGCCACGAAAACCTGCGCTTTCTTTCGTAAGTTTATAAGTTAAGAAGGGAGAGTTAAAACTAACCTGTATAGCTTCCTGCATCCTATCGGCGACTACAGAAGACGAGAATCTGTCTGGAGATAATCGAAAATCAGAATAACATAGGCAAAAAGAGTGTAGTACTTTGACCATCCAAATTCTTCCTTTGTGCTTGAATAAGTAGAGTTGTCGAATCATCTCGATAATAAGAGCCTTCCAGAGCTGGCAATGGTCGAATCAGAACCGTGACAAACTAAAGATAAAACTAAATCGATACCTTTCCGAGATTTTTGCCAGACTTCAACAACAACAAACGGAATAGCATCACACCAGCAGTCGTCTAGTTCTTTTAGAACAGCCTCTTTAGCTTCTATGCGTGCAGTCTGCAAAAACAACTCGTGTCAGAAACAGCTTATACAAAGAAAGAAAAGACTTACACGAATCATGGCAATCCTCGAGCTGTGGACACTATTTTCCTGATGGTAAGGAAATATTTGCCGCAGCAAAGCACCACATTGCCATAACGCTTCTATGCAAGGTGGTGGACGCCTGCATAATAGCTCCAGAAGCTTCTTCACGACCTTCAACGTTCCAAATCATACTCAGCTCTTTACGTAAACAGGTAGCAAATTCTTACCGCTTCTTGCATACGCACGAAAGAGTTACACTTGGCATTTCTATCGTTTCTGGTAGCTCTGCAGAAGTTTGTGCCACGAAGCCTTTTTCCATCAACAGTTTTCTCACTTTCAACCTGAAGAAGCAGCACAATAAAAACCAGTACAAAAGATTGAGCGCTTACCGCTAATGTGGAATAGTCGCAAACGTCAAGGGTATCCTCGTCGCCAAACAGCTCTTCGTCTGAATTGCTTCCCATCAAAGCTTGCTGCAAAAAAAGTTTGCAAAAAACTGTCGTGAGCAAGGGACATAGTAAACAAGTCACAAACCAAAAGGCGTCTTTTATGTTGTTTCAAACGAGGAAGAAGTCCAAGTACTTCCAAAATTGCATCATCCACTGTTTAGAGGCCGAACTTAGAAACAATTGTAACAATGATGCACCGATTACCTTCATTGTGAAGAAGAGCCAGTAAAAACGTCACGGAAGCCACAATAACCCTGTCGCTATCAGATATAACATGTGACAGAACCAGCTCCCTGCACAGCAACGACATTAGAATGAGCGTCGTGTTTTTACGAGTAAAAAGCTCACAGACTACATTGGACACAAAGAAGAGACGCCATTTTCCCGGGCCAGGCCTGAAGCACTCAAGGGACGACGTTCCTGTTCCGGCAGCGAGCTATCAAGAAAGGATTCACAAACGAGGGCGGCAGCGACACCATTTGCCAACGGTTTGTGTCTGATGAGGCACAAAACACGAGCAAGCAGATAGAGCGCAGAGAGAGCATTTTCCTGTAATCGCCAAATGATCAAAAGGAAAAAACAAAACACACGTCCAGCAAAAATGGTACGTACTGAAGCAAGTGAACACAAGAGCGGGAGCACAAAAACATGCATCAAGTTATCCGTCATTGCGCGAGCCAAACCAGGGATGCCAGCAGAGACAATATCGTTGCAATAATCAAGGATCTCCTCCGTCTCTGCTATACATCCTTCTAATCTTGATTTACTCTGAAGTGGCTCATGATTCCTGGAAATACTACTTATTAGCAGACATTTACACACTACTGAAAAAAGTCGTACCTTTCGGCATCGGCCATCAAAGCATGCAGTGAAAAACTCTTTTCTTTAAGGAAGCCCACAATGTCGGCGATGTATCCCACGGCCTTATCGCTTGAAACAAACTTTCTCACGCTGTCGTCATTCACTAACAAGACAAGACACGGTTGCAGCGCAAAGCACGAACAATGTAGAATAGCTTTACCATGATATATGTTCAAAGTGAGGGTTCGTACTGCTATTCGCACCATACTTTCTTCATGCCGAAAGAACTTGATCCCTTCTGTGTAAAGTGGGAACGACACCACATTGTCCTGCAAGAACGTTCTACAGTCATGTTATCAGAAATGAACAGACGCAACATACATTTTCGGTTGTTATGAAGAACGATATTGTGGTCTGATCAAGCTTTGTGCTTGTTGTTCTACAAGGAAGGAAAAAGTAAAGGCAAACAGAAAGTCGAAGGTGTATTTACCTTAGAAAAGAAATGTAGTAGGCCAGCAGTTCTTCGTCCCGGAAGTCATAGGGATACGTGATAAAGTGGTTAAGGTACCCATTGCTAAATATGTAGTCTGCCACACCAACAGCAAAAAGTAAGGCCCATTCCTCTAGGGAAAAAAAAAAAAACATTACATATGGCATGGTCACTCCGAATGTTTTGAACCATGATGTTGATAGTCTGTAGTAATTGGACCACAACAGCCGTGGTGTTGCTGCTAAGCTCGAGAATTTGCAGAAACAAAACCATTACTTGCTTCTCCATAAAGTACCTGTGAATTACAATCACCTCGCCATCAAAATCGAGAGAATGCTAGGATCTTACTCAAAAATCGAAGCGTCTCGTTGATCACCCCATATCATAAGCTCCGCCATGGATCTAAGTATCTCTACCACCGAATCCTAGTAACAAAAGAAAAAATTAAAAATTAAATTCCGCGCGGTAGAACTAGAAGAGATGGTGGATCCAATCCACACCTTATTCAAGTCATTGACAAAGCTGATCCTTTGCAATTGCTCAGTGAGAAATCTGGCGAGAAAACCATTCGGGGTGAGAAGAGAAGGGCGAGGAAAGAGAATTCAGCCAAACGTACTTGAGCTCGTCGAGCGAGAATCTCTCCCGCCGCCTCCACGGCCACATCGTAGCAGCGCCTCCTCCCGACAGCTAGACCACTCCCTACGGCCGCCACAGCACGACCGCGCACAGGGCACTCCCGCTGGACGCTAGCGGCGGCGCTACCACAATCGGCAGGCATTGCATCAAGGTGTCGAGGAAATGGAGCACCAGGCGCACAACAACGATCCAAACCCCAGAGTTCAGCATGTAGAGCCGACTTCCCGCGAGCTGGGAGCCAGGATCTAAGCGCGGCGGATCCAAAATCCGGGAGAATTGGAGCCGATGCGCGAGAACCTACAAACAAACGGGGGTCACAAGCCCTAGAATCGTGTCCAGAGCATATGCTAAGAGAGTGTTAGACTTAACACGTTGCACTTCCCACGCGGGGGTCGCGAGTTCGAGCCTCGCCGAAGTACTGATACTCGCGAGCCCTAGAATTTATAAAAGTTGGCGCCATACGGGTTTAGGGCTCTGGCGATGGCGACGCGCTGTGGCTAGGAAGACTGCAGGAGCGTCTATTCAATACAACTCGAACTTCTTAAGTTACGCCGATCTTGACTCATGGGTCACATTCGAGCATCTCTGGAGCTGTCAACATGCGGTACGCCACAAGCTCTGGAGCACGCGTTTACAAAGTAAGAATATGTACAGCGTATTTGTTTGCAGGATGAATGACGAGCTCCGGACTGCGGTGGGAACATCAGATTGCTGGGTATGTGTTCATCTCTCTTCTTGTTGCTGTGAATGTTTGGTGTTCGGTTACAGGATTGGTATGCGCAAAACATGTCCTTGGTGGTGAGACGCACATGTGTATGTGTCACTTGCGATGGTGTTGCTGTGCCGAAATGGGAAGGACGAGAGGCTGAACCGTCCAAGTTCTCTTTCCCGTCTCAAAAATGCCGCAAGGTACTCACTCTTTCGCTAGCTTGTTCACACAGGAGCGGCTGACTACAGCAGACTCCTATGTGTCAAATCACCTAGTGTGTCACATGGATAGCCATTATACAAGCGTTTTCACCACTCGGATTGACGCACTCGTGAGTATTGTATACTTGTAATCCGCAAACGAGCTTGTAATGTGCGAACTAGTACATGGCCTCGAGGAAGCTTGCCGCCAGATTGCCAGAACAGGGGCTGATGAATGCAGGACATTCAGAGCTGCTGCGACAGAAAGTGGCCAATGGAGTGACTCGAGAGGTGAGTGGACAGTTATATGGCGCCGCAGAGGACAAAGAGGAAGGCCCAATCGAAATATTTCCCGATCCTGCCGATGAATCTGAGTCTGAAGACGAAGACGACTCGTCCAAAGACGAAAGACATGACGCTAGGGCTATATGGTGTTAGACCCCATGGTTTGCGCCCCATGGTTTCCGCCCCCTAGGAGTACACCCGTCACCTTTTGCCGGACAGGGATCCCTGCATAAGGATGATGGACCTCAAGGTAACTCTTTTTCTTCTTTTCTATATGTTGTTTGAGATTTTCTTATCAGGAAAAGGACCTCAAGGTTGTTTGTAAAGTCGGCTCTTGCTAGTTTGTGATTAAATGCGGGAACATAAAAGAGTGGTTTGTGGACGAAAGAATGATGCTATTGTAATTCCTGTTGGAGGTCAGATACACAGAGGCAAAGCAAAGGGATGTTTGGCATTTGACATTAGCTTTTGTCTTTCAGAGATATGTTGGTTCGTGGTTTCCTACTGGTTTCTTTACTGGCTTGGATGTCTTTCGTTATTTCGTTTTTCACCTTTTAACTGACTTGTTTCTCAGCCCTTTACAAGGAGTGCCAGCATCTAAAATCATTGCTACTCACATTACAAAGACGGAGTCAGAAGCTGCTGAGCATCTTGGTTTCACTTACAGGTATGCCAGAGTGTGTAGAAAATATGATATATTGTTCTTTTGCCATTACAGGGACGCTATATCATTTACTTGCGATGAGGGCATTAAACACGTAGCGCTCCCAGCTATCTCGTGCGGACATGGCAGGATTGTACTCACACCTTACCGAGTTAGCATATTACAGGTTTCCTCCGGATAAAGAGGCACAGATTTCTGTAGAAAGCGTACAAGGGGCACTCAAAAGTGCTAAGGCTCCATTGAGCTAAGCTGCCCTGGATTAAACATGGGTGCCTTTGAAACTTTCTGGCTTAACTTAAATCTGAAGAGTAAGTAGTGTTGTGATTATCTAATTAATTTAAAACTGTTGATCTCTTTGTAAGTGATGGTCTCGGGCATATAACGATATAGCCAGATCGCATTGTGGAACGTGCCCATGAAAATAAGTGTCAAAGAGGTTTTCCATGCACTTATGGAGAAATCATTGTGGTGGATATCTGCTATCCTAGGCCCTATTAGACTCAAAGTCTTTGTGGATCCCGAAAGAGATATTTGGCAGCCAGGACAGCTATATAACCATATTACTGTTCAGATCAAGTACAAACCAGAACCCATTACCTCTTGACCGAGGGGCTGATCAGGAAAAGGACCTTAAGCTTCTGCTCTTGCAAGTTTGCAATTAAACATGGGGACATAAAGGAGGGGAGTTTACCATTTGACTTTTGCTTGCCCACTCTATTGCATTGTTTTCAAGGTTTGGACTTCTTCTTGCCTTGATTTCATTGTAACTTGTTTATTACTTGGACTAATGCTCAAGTAGGGGCTTATGAAGTTGAAGAGTCTGGCTAGGGCAAGCAATTGCTATAAGTGGATATGCCTAGATTAGACACATTTTACCACTAATGGTTAATGTTTATTTAGGTTAATTTTTGTGATTATAAATGTAACCTTTTTAAACACCTCCAGGTATATTCTCCCTCCGCTCGAAGGGTTGATTGCGCTGCGCTTGGATCCTCCTATGGACTTGTCCTCCAGGTCATCCAATCGCGAGCAGCCTGTACTCTCGGGTTTTGCACGAGAATATGGGGCAATTTTGGGACTCCCTGCGTCACCGACACGCTCGTCATCAACATCGCTGCTCTTCTTCGCCGTCAAGGGGATCCGGCTGATCAGGTGCTCCTAGGACGGCCCCGTTGCGAGGCCCAGCGTTCTTCTTATCGCTCTAGCTGCCTTGCGCAGCTCGCCCTGAGGATTTCTAGTGACAATCCCGAAGGAAACAAATCGCTTCCTCCTTATGAGGTATGGCTTTTATTATTCTCTTCTATGCTCGTTTCCTCGGCTACTTGGATTGATGTCCTGATAATGCTGTGCCTGGAGACGAGGATTTACGTGAGAGAATACAAATGGCAACCGTTATGCTTTGTTTTACGCTCTAGTCGCCGAGATCACGAAGCTTCGTTTTGTTTCTGAGCTCAAGGATTACCTTGACAAGTA